ATACATACATACATACATACATACATACATACATACATACATACACACATACATACATACATACACACACATGCATGCATGCATCATCGCTCGATCGTCGTTGTGCAGTTCCGTAGAATATAAGGACGGTGCAAGAGGGACCACAAAACGTACCAAGACAAGACCAATATGACTCCTTTTGCTGTCTTTATTTTTTGGACCGACGCGAGGGAGAAATTAAACATGCAAACATATAATACATAGTACTAATAGAAATATATATATATATTTGGGGTACATGGAGAGATCATTTTCAATACGGAAGTAAATTAATATTGAATCAGTCGTCGGATTCTTTGGAGGAATCGGAGATAATCTTCTGGATCATCTTGTTTGTCTCTTCCTCCGACATTCTCTCTTGTCTGCTTTGCCTCTGCTCATACGCCTCGAAGAACTCCTTGTTCTCTTTCTCCAGCTCCTTCCACACTGTTTTTAGTTTGACGGGAAATAAGGGAGATTTTAGCATGTAGTCCTAAGTTTATGTAGTGAAATTAGCACTCCATTATATGCAATATACGTTTCATGGCGTGTGTATGTACGTACGTATACGTAGATGATTCATATCATGTTTCTTACAAGTTAATTGATTTCTCGGAGTTCAGGAGGCAAAAGGACGATTTTATGTCTTCATTTTTGTAATCATTAGAATACTCATAAAACTCGTATGCATGCAGTGTAAGAACACATACTTCATGTAAATATACATATATAGATCGATATATATATATCCACCCCAAAGTTACCTCCACAGAAGCACACACACATATACTCATTTCATATGTATAGTTTTTGGTCGAGAGACTGCGTTTTTATGCGTTTAGGGTAACTAGGACGCCTTCACACACACAGAAATTAATATATATGGGCATGGATATATATATATATATATATATATACACGTGTGTGTACGTGTGTGTGTGTGTGTGCGATAACACATGAAATAAGAATGATTATCATTAGAAGAGGAAACAAACCGGTGGAGGTGATAACAGGAGTGATGTTCGCATGTTTAGAGAGAGCTTCCATGCACTCTTCTTTGCTCATGTGGAAGATCAAACATTTCTCTATCAAGTGCTGCACCTATACACACATACACACACACACAAATGCTATTTAAGCTCATCATTTCATAAAAGATTATAAAAGAAGGAACCCCCACATAGTACTGATGAATCAGTTGTTCATCTCACAACTCAAAAGAAGAAACCAAACAAGTTCTTTGATCTTATACATAGGATCAGTAAAGTCTGTGCTCATCAAGCTAAAGGGTTACCATGTGAATGTAAGAAGCGGAAGAAGAATCACCCATATCGAACAATCCCCGGTATAAAACCACAGAAAATGCAAGTTATAATGAAGATATATATATGCATATATAGGAGAGCGATCAATGCAATTATATATAGAAGATTAAGAGGAGGGAGTGACGCATGCAAGTTGAGAAAGCAAGGGGAAACACCAAAGATCAGTTGAAAGAAAGAAAGAATAATGGGTCCAGAAGTCCCACGTGGGAGACTGATTATAATTGGCTGAGAGAGGATTAGGAGAGATTTGTAAATGACTCTTTCTCTTGTCCTTTGTTTCTTCCTTTCCTCTTTTCATTCGAAAATTTAGAGAGAGAAAAAAAAACAAAACCAAGAACAACACAAAAAAAAAACTTCCTCCCACCCCTCCTCCACGTGGTTCGTGGGTCCTCCTCCTTTTATTTGCAGTCAATTTGTCGTAATTTTCTATATTAAAACATTCATCCACTTATCTCTCGTTTGATGTTTTTCACTCCTCATCGTGACTCGTGTTCTTTTTTGGCTTCTAATTAAGTTTTAATTGTTTATGTGATCGTATATGATTTATTTCATTTCACTTATATTATTTTAGGACTCTATATATATATATATATCCTCAAAAACTTCAAATATCTAATAGAGATTCAAACGGCATATATAACAATTGCTGTTTCTTATTTGGTCGGCTATTGTATGATTATGAGATTTGGTGGGGACATTGGTCACGTTGGTATGCTTACCATCACCCTCAAGTCATGCTACATACAAGTAATGTTAAGAAGGTTAAGCAATCAAATAAATAAAATATATACATATATATAGAGAGAGAGTGAGTGAGAGAGAGAGAACTATCTCCATCTATTTACAACTTAAGAAGACTGCCTGAAGATCACTCTTTATTCATTTAGTTTTTGTGAAAGTTTAAAGTTCGATTATATTCATCTAAATTCATCTTTTAAAAACTTGATATTATATATATATATATATATATATAATATGCATATATATACATGTTTGGCATTTTTGGTTAATAACTTTGAGGATTTATCTATATATACATATACACCCTCATTAAGTACATGCCTTGTCGATTCGTTTATGTATTTTGAACAAGTTATTTTACTTTATGAAACAATAAATCACCCGATTTCCATGAAGAAAACAAAAAACAAGAGGACTACAATGTGTAAAAACAAGACACGACAATAATTCAACACAATATGTCATATATATAATTCTTTGTCACTTCTTTTTCCCCGGGGATAAATACAAGAAACTTAGCTCGTGTTGCTGACATGGCACACTCTGATTGGGCAACAGTAGTATAGAGAGAACTAACCAATCCAAAGACGACGCCTTCGGTTTGCGCCTTGGTTCAAACAATAATTAAATCAACGTGAATCTAACACACGTGTCTTTGCCAAAAAAAAAAAGGACTAGTCTTAGATTCTCTAGAGTAAAAAAAAAAAAAGAAATTGTATATAAAAGACATTCATGACTAAAATCTCTTCGACGTCACTGTTTTCTCCACTTGTCTCGTGACCTCTGCATAGCTTTGCTTTCGGCTTTTGGGAGAATGGGTTTTTGTTTGACAGTTCAGTGAGAAGGCTCATTGCACGATTCCATTGCACAAACCTTTGCCTCTTGCTAGGTTTTGTCTCTTTCTGTCCCCTCCGGTGGTTTTTAAATATATATTATTCCCCGGAAATGCATAAATAACAATTGAAAAATATATATATATATATATATATATATTCAGCAATATCAAAGTTACGCACTCTTTTACTAGTTTTTCTAGAGCTCGGTACCATATTTGTATTATATAATATTTAGATTTGATATTATTTCTATATTTTAAATATTTATATTAATTAAAAAATATTATTTGATTAATCTATTTTGTACTTATAAATATTGTAATGGTTTAGATTGAATAATGAGAAATCTAACGATTTTTCACTATTTTCTCTATTAATATGTAAGATACAATGAGAAATCAAAATTCCACAAGATCATAAAGAAATGTGTGTTAGTTGTTCTATAAATATTTTTCTTACCGGTATCCATCCAGGGTGCTATATAAAGACATAACAAAATGCGTTAGATCCTTTTCTTGGTACGTTAATGATGGTAGACCGTCTTGGGTAAACCCCATCCCACATACACAAATCTGCGATACATACATAGGAGTTAAGTCAGTTGTAACTCACAGACGACAGGTGAACGGAAAAAGAGTCGAACCTGCAACCTCTCGGTATACTGATAATACTCTCTGCCAATTCATCTGGGTTTTCCCTGCATGTCATCTTGTGTGTATATATATATATATATATATATGTTATAAAAAATATTAAAAATTGTGGCAACGATTAATTTGGTGACCCAAATTTTTTTGGTTGTAAATAGAATATATAGGATCATGCATGCATGTACGTTGTAAAATGAGTGGATATGAAACAGATTATGATTACTGGCTTGTAACGTTTTCTGAAGAATAAAGTGAAAAACGATGACTTAGGGTTTTTGCTTTAGGTAGGGAGAATGGTTGCTATTTTTCAGGAGTGGTCCAAATTGGAGAAGGTACGTTTATTTGGCGGATACTTCCAGAACCCTAGATTTGACACAAACCCATTCTACAAACTCTGTCGTCTCGCCACGTCAGCCTCTGCCGTTCGCGATTATTTGATCTTCTTGTAGATTGTTGTGCGTGACTTGTCACCACCTCATTGGTCCGCAATCAAAACCTCGAATCTCCTGTCTTCCAATTTTCCAAATATTGCTCCTGGCCAAAAACACACGAGTAAAACTGGAAAAAAAAAATTTGAAATTTGATCATCATGTCATATCACATCATATCGTATGATATACCATATATCATGTATGCTTGGACCGAAAGACGAACAATTCACAACGGTTTGAATTAAGATTGTTTTCTCAACGCAAATAGCTTTCTAGAAAACGTGGTAGATATTACGAAAACTTGAAATTAAATAAAAATATCGATATAGTTACTATGATATGGGGATTTGAAATTGGTAAATATATCAAGATCTAGACAATTTGTGCCAATAGTAAGTGATCAAGTTTGCCCATCAACTTTGAATTAAATCCAGAATAACCCAATCCAACCCATTTATGTTATTCTTTTGGGCAACAATTATTTAATTGGTTAAATGGATCATGTGTTTAGCCCAATTGAGCCTAACAACAACACAAATTTATTCTTCTTTCTAAATTTAATTTCACAAGCATGTCTCTCCCATGTGATTATTGTTTTCGCATGTCTATTAATGGTTTAAAATTTTCTTTTCGTAGTCGATAAATCTTTTTTTTTATCTCTATGAATCTTTATTTTTTTACATATATATAATATATACTATTTTCTTACATAAAATATTTTCCTTCTTAAATATTTTAATATTTTATGGTAACCGTTAAATATAAATGATATTGTTACATGCAATTTCGTATTCCGTGATCAATCCGCATTCCTAGATGTATAAATGTCTACTTGCATGTTGTAACACGTAATAACTATACATACAACATATATAATATTATACAAATATATATATATATATATATATATAT